ATATATATATATATATATTAATTTAGAGATCTAATTAAAAATTCTAAAAATAAAATAAAATAAAGTTCAGTGATAGATGTATTAAACCTGTTAACAAAATAAATAAATAAAAATTGTTTATTTTTTCTCCTCTACAGACTTTTAACCTGAAATTCTTTTCTGCCTGAATTAGATATACCACTTCTCATAGAAAGGATAACAAAGGAGCAGTGAAGAGTTTAAGAGCAGTAAATGCTCTTCCTTTTCATGTACATCAGCAATAACACTTTTCTTCTTTTTCATATGCATCAAAGTTCTGACCTCATTTGCTTGCACATAAAGTTGAGGGGATGAAAACAAAATTACAGAAATAATTGTACTAAAAAATACACCTACTTACAATTTGCATGTCTATTTTCATATTTTTACAATAGTCAAACAAGTAATGAAAACTCATTATTCTCATTGCAGACAATAAAAAAAGAAATATATATCAAAACTCTTTCAATTGTCATTGTAAATGAAAAAATATATATTTATCAAAACTCATTCAATTGTTATTGTAAACACAATATGAAAATATATATGATTTATCTGATAAAATCTTTGAGATCATTATTATCTTAAATTAGTCCCTGTACAGATTGCAGAGACAAGAAAGACAAGTCTATTTACGAAACCACATAAAACATCAAACAACAACTAAGTCCTAAGAACGAGTAAATTCGGGGGGACCGCCTCAACTTTAAATATAAAATAAAAAAAGATTTACAATTATATATGTCTCTCTAAGGAAAAGCAGAAATATATAATGTAAGAATTTAAAATAACAAAAATAGCAAAAATTAACTAATGTCTCCTCTTATGCACGGGTCAAGAGAGAAGAAAAGAAAGAACCTGAAAGATACGACATCAAAACATAAACTCTTTAATCATAAAGACTAGATTGCTTAAACTAAATAAAATAATTGACATTGCAGGAACAATATTTCTAATGTGTATACTATAGACAAACAAACATAAATCGGTGCCTACATGGTTAATGGGAGCTATTATTCTACTACTCTAGCTCCCATCTTTTCATTTTAGATCCTCCGCAGTGTAACAAAATTTCTGAGGAAGTTTTTGAAATTGGTTTTTCACTATGTATGACATTCCTATGGACTATGCTAACTGCAACTTCCTGTTATCCAACTGATGACAATGGCTGCAATGAGTTAGATTCTGTTGGGGAAAATACAGCGATTAACTTGTCCTTTGTAAGCTGTTCAGATTCTTGTGATTTAATTACAAATGTGTGAAAAATAGTATCATTTGCAGCTGTGAGTTTAGACTCTACAACACTGATTTGTGCCTCATTGAGTGTTTGTATTACTTTGGAAAGAGGGTGAGCATCAAAAGGACAGCTCACCTTTACAATGACCTCATCTCGAACAGCTTGAACATTCACCCGAGAAGCTTCCTTATCCTGAATGTCCAAACTTGAGTTGCCCTCCAAAACTGATTCATCCTTTGAAGTGCTTCCAAATCTCTCTCTTTCAGCCTCCATGATCCTGACTTTGGCCTGAAGCTCATTGATATAAGCAATGGCATCACCCAACAAGGACGCCTTATCCATCTTGGAGATATTAGGCACAACAGATCTTAGCGCATAGAAGCGCTGGTTGAGCTTCTCACGCCTCTGCCTCTCTGCTTCAACGTGATTGAGTGGCTCGTCCCTTCCATTAGCTGGCTTCCTGCCTCGCTTTCTGGGCTTCCTTTCATCAGCAAGAATGGGTTGCTCCTCCTTGCAGGAAGCCTCAACATCAGATAATTCTGATTCACCAATAACTGGTTTCACCGAAGAAGGCCTTGAAGTGGCTCCAGTGAAATCAATTTGCATTTGCAGCTGCCTTTGAGGTTGATAGGTATTGCCAAGCCTGAAATCGTGTCTCACAGCATTAGCGACACTGCTAGTGGATGCCCTAGGAGCAAAAATCTCAGCCTGAAGACCGTTCCTGGGGTGACCTCCCCAAGTCCTATTATTATCGTCCATTTTCCTAACAGCAAGTTTCTCTCTAAAAACCTTGGGAATTGGAACTCCTGCGTCTACCTTGCCATCCCCAATGGCCAAACCGGTGAAAAGGGCATTAGAAGAATGCGTGGAAAAGAGAGACTTAACGGTGTGCAAGAGTTGAAAACTCTCTGGTAAGATTCTAACAGAACCCAACTCTACAACTCCCAAATCGGTGGGGACCAAAACAACAGTCTGTATTCCGGCGGATTTAGCCAAGAAAGAACGGACGCAGTAATCGGAAACAGATTTGAGCCATAAATGGTTGCCGGAGGCGAGGCACTTACCAGGGCCACCGTGGCCGCGAGGGAAGGAGAAGTACATGGAGGCCAGAAAGAACATCTCGGTGTCAGTGACGTGGTCGAGGCCAACTGCATAATTGTCTTCATCGGAACCACCGAAAGTGGTGTGAAGCTTCTGCAGCACTCTCTTTCTCATCCTCTGATGCATCTCTTCCTCCACAAGCCTTCCTCTTCCTCTCACAGCAACCTCTTCTTCTTCGTTCGGTTCTCTGCAGCATCCGTCGCCCCAACACAGAACCCAGTCACCGGATTTGGACTGAGAGAGTTGCCAGAAAATGGCGTAATTCCAACTGAAATTCGAGTGGTTGGGACGCTCCACCAGATCGGATAGATTGTTCTGAACTCCCTCTTCGCTCCCAACCGCCATTAAAACACTCTCATTCCATACTGAATTTCTCATCAGGGCATTAGAAGAATGCGTGGAAAAGAGAGACTTAACGGTGTGCAAGAGTTGAAAACTCTCTGGTAAGATTCTAACAGAACCCAACTCTACAACTCCCAAATCGGTGGGGACCAAAACAACAGTCTGTATTCCGGCGGATTTAGCCAAGAAAGAACGGACGCAGTAATCGGAAACAGATTTGAGCCATAAATGGTTGCCGGAGGCGAAGCACTTACCAGGGCCACCGTGGCCGCGAGGGAAGGAGAAGTACATGGAGGCCAGAAAGAACATCTCGGTGTCAGTGACGTGGTCGAGGCCAACTGCATAATTGTCTTCATCGGAACCACCGAAAGTGGTGTGAAGCTTCTGCAGCACTCTCTTTCTCATCCTCTGATGCATCTCTTCCTCCACAAGCCTTCCTCTTCCTCTCACAGCAACCTCTTCTTCTTCGTTCGGTTCTCTGCAGCATCCGTCGCCCCAACACAGAACCCAGTCACCGGATTTGGACTGAGAGAGTTGCCAGAAAATGGCGTAATTCCAACTGAAATTCGATTGGTTGGGACGCTCCACCAGATCGGATAGATTGTTCTGAACTCCCTCTTCGCTCCCAACCGCCATTAAAACACTCTCATTCCACACTGAATTTCTCATTAAAAACTCTAACGCTCCACCTCCAAGAACCGCTCCTACCATCGCCTTCTCTTCATCGTCCCACTCCACGCCCTTCATCTTCTAAATTAATATTTTCAGATCTTGCAAATTTCTCTTATCAGATCTTCCAAATTTCAGCTATCTCCACAAATAATAAATAAATAAGCGCGAGAAAGATAGAAACACAAACTGAGTGTGGCGAATCAAAAACAAGGGTTTTGTTTCGTGGCAGTGGTGAAAATTAGAAAAAGGAAGAAGAAGAAGAAAGGGTAGAGAGAGAAAAATGAAAGCTGGGCTCTAAATGCACTTCACGTGCTTCATCCACTCCGGTTCACGTGCTTTTCACGTTCCTTATCAGTTACTGGAGCATCGAGGACGGACAAGATGAAGACACGTGGAGAACAAATACGGCACGTGGAACGCATGTGATGTTTGGAAACGTGTTCGTTTTCGGGGAGAGTAATGATGGGAGTCGCACAACTTGCGTGATGTTACAGCTGGCACTGCATGATCAATCACGATGTCACGCGCTCCTTGCGCGTGAGTGGGGGAACTTTTATAGAGTATTTGAAGAGGCACGTTAGTCAGAGAGTCGTGGTGATGCAATTGAAGACTTTATCCACAATTTCACCAAAATCACATGTGAAATTTGTTAATAAGGGGAGAATGCGCCAAGCATGTTTGTTAAAAAATGTTTACTACTTCTTTTTGTTTCTTAATTCATATTATTTTAAACAAAATCTTACCCAAGTTAACAAATTGATTAAGTCTATATTTTTAAAGAGATATTAAGAAGTGTATTTTATTAATACATCAAAAGTAATTTTTTTATTATAAAATTTAATATAATTTCATCATAACTTTTAATAAAATATTTTTTATTCATATTTTAATTATAGTCTTAACTTAAAATTATCATTTTAAATTATTCGCTAACCTCGTACAGATTTTAGCAGTAATTTTTAAATGTTTTTATTGTTTCTTTTATTGTTTTTCTTAATTACTATTTTCAGTGTGCTAAATTTCTAAATATATTAATTAAAAAGTTTTAATGAAAAAATTAATTCAAATACAAATTTTCTAGTGTTAATTAAGAGTTACGTCAATTTTTTTAACAGCCTTTATGAAATAAATTAAGTTATGTCAATTTTTTTTCTAGTATTGATTTTAAAAATAGTTAATTTACTTAATATTTTGAATTTAATAATAATACACTCTTAGTATATATTTTTTTACATAATGACTAGCTCGTTAAAAATTATTTTTAAATGATTATTGTAAAAGTTGTGACACTTTATTTATTGTATTATGCATCTTAACCGAAAATTAAGAATCATTAATTGTGCATAGAAATACTCTCGTTTCTCTTCATTTTAACTAAACAACCAATAAGTTATTTGTTTCAATTTTTACTGATAGATGCATGAGGACATTCAATTATTGTTGTTATTATTAGAATTCTTTCTGCTAATAAAAAAAAATGTATTTGATTGCATAGATTATGAGTTTTATTTCAAATTATTTTGATTAAAAAAAATATTTACTTTAATATAATTATGATCTTTAGAAATAAAATTTATAAGGTTGTGATTTTTTTTTTCTATCAAAATCAAAATCAATATAAACATTTTTATAATAATTCCTTCCTTATTCAATTAATTTAGTTGAGTTAGAAAAACTACTAAAATCAACCTAATGAAAAGATTGAATAATATAAACAAAATTTTAAGTTGAGTTTATAACAATTGTTTGTAATTTTGACTAATAAAGAAACCTGAGTTAAAAACACTTTACTATCAGCAAATCCAAATTCAGTGACAGTTTCTAGAGGAATAGACTTGCAAGCTAAATGCTGATGGTAGTGCACCGGATAATCTCCCGGCAAAGCAAATCAGCTTCCGGAGTATTATTACTTGACAATTGGTTATTGGTTTCCATGGATGTTGCAACATGATGACATCATTGACATGCACTAAGTTATTTATAACAGCATGAACATATTGTTTGGCTATAAGATTATTAGAATTTGTCTATGAATCAAACTCTTATGTCTGGACTGTTATGAAGAAAGAAATTCATATCACACATGATTACTACCCTTTGGTTGAGAAAATTAGAAGCTTCCTTAGTCTTGATTGATGCATCCAATTTTAGTACATGTTTAGAGAAGGAAAATAGTGTTACAGACACTATCTTCATTAAATACTGTTAGTCATTGATTTGTTTCATTTATGATGAATAAAAAAAACAGTCACATAAACAATTTATCTAAAAGAAAAATTTTGTTATTCATAATAATTTTTTTAACACAATTATGCTAAATAATCGAAAGAACCTTCAATAAAAGATATGCAATGTCTAAAAAAATAAATAAAAAAACTCATTTACACAAGCATCTAATAAAAAAATAAAAATAAAAAATAAAAAAACCAAGGGTCTACATCAAGATAAAGAACTTCAATACTCACCATGAAGGGAAAAGTATTTTGCAATTAAATATTAAAAAATAACAGCACCAACAACTTCGGTTTTGGATCACTTTTAGCTTTCCTTAGCCTTATATTCCACTCAAATTAGCTATAGTGCCTTATCTTGTGAGTTTTGTCTGTCTATAAGATATTAGCTTCTGATTTCTAAATGTATTGGGAAAAATCCTAGTCCCACATCGACTAGAGATTAGGCAATTGAATAGTATATAAGTGGAAAGCAACCCTCACCTTAAAAGCCGGTTTTGTAGGATTGAGTTAGGCTACAATCCACTATTCTAACATGGTATCAGAGCCATTTAGATCCACTTTAAAAATGGGCCACCCACCATTGATGCATGCCTTATAGGCGTGAGGGTTGAGTTGGGAAAAACCCAAGTCCCGCCAATCCTGGATCACTGAAAAGGGTCACCCACCATTTATCCACGTACCAAGCCCAATAGTGCTGGACGTGAGGGGGTGTATTGGGAAAAATCCTAGTCCCACATCGACTAGAGATTAGGCAATTGAATAATATATAAGTGGAAAGCAACCCTCACCTTAAAAGCCGGTTTTGTAGGGTTGAGTTAGGCTTCAATCCACTATTCTAACAAAATGTTAAAGAAATCAAAACGCGTTTAATTTCCTAGGAATCATCTCTTATGTAACTTTTGACATCATGAATGCATAAATTAATGCTTTAAGAGTTTGATTGTGTTTTCTTTTTGTTAACCGAGGTTGATTAATTAAGGTTTGCAAATGGCAAGCAAAACTTGGTCAAATCCACTTTTACTTTCTTGGTGATCACACTTGTCTTTACACGGTATTAAAAGTAACAGACCATGACAAAATGTGGGGGACGGGGTGAAAGATAACACCCATACCCATTCCTCTTATTTGGTTCTCTCAAATTTAAAAAGAAAGCTAAAAAAATAATTTTTCCCCTTGTCTCTTCTATCAACATAATAAACAATCGTCTAATTCTTTTTCTTCTCATTTTCTTTTCATTATCTATCTTTTTTAAATCAAACAAAGTATTACACTCTTCCTTTAATCGTTTATTTATTTAATTTTTTCTTTTCTCTCCGGTCAAATAATTAAACAACCGTCTTACTTTTTATTATTTTTCTTCTCATATTTTTTTCGTTAGCTTTTTTTCATAAATCAAACAAAGATCCTTTGTTTGGTTAGAAAATAAAATTAAATAAAAACAAAAAAGAAATAGGAGAGAATTTTTTTTTATTAAAAAAAGTGTAGAAAAAAATATTTTTATTAATTTGTTATAAACTTCACACGGATATTAAACAATTTATTATATTCGACAAGAATATGTTATTTCATATATGAAAACTAATAACACACAATGTAATAATTTTGTCTCTTAAATATGTTGTTTAAAAATATTTTTTTTTTAGAAAAATTACCCTCTTAAATAAATTTTAGTTTATTGAGAAATGGGTTTTTTTTTTTAATTAAAAATACCCTCAAGTTCAACAAAAAAAAATTATAAACATCCTATTCCAGTTTTTTACAAAAATATTTTGAAAATTTTCTATTAATCTTCTTATTTATTATTTTAATTACTTTTTTTTAATAAAGATATCCCCATGTGAAAGGTACATTACTTGATTAAGTGGAATAAAAATAGAAGGAATAAATCTTCACCGATTTTAAGAGTAATGGTAAAAAAAAAATTATATAATAGTTTACAAGTTTAATATCATTAATTAAATTAATTATTTTCCTTTCTTACCCAATGATTAAAAGATCTTATATACACGATCAAAAATAGTGTAATGGAAAAATAAATTTATACCATTAGACTTAGTGTAATGGTGAAGAATTAGGGTAAATATGCGAAGATTTGAATTCGATTTTTATTATCTTTATTATACACACAAAAAATTATATTGAATGTATTCAATCTAATTAAATAGTCAAATAAGAACATTTCCTATGATAAAAAAAATAAAAATAAAAAGTAAGTTATCGAATCATATTTAAATAGATAAAATTAAAATTAAAATTAAAATATGCGTAGTTTTTAAATCATGATTATTTATAGTAGTACATAATAATTAAAAAAATTATTATATTTATTATCTTGATCACAATATAATAGACTAATGTAATTATATAAAAATTCATAATTTAATTACCATATTATATAATATTAATATCTATATAAAAATATTATTTTCAAATTAACGTATTCATAAAAATATATTATATATTAATCTAAACTTATATAATGAAGCATCAAATTATTTTAAAGTTTTATAAAAATTTGTATACTTAATTGATATATGATAATTTATTTTTTTAGTTTATCAGTTGAATTGCTGATTAAATTGTTTTTAAATTTATTGAAGACTATGTTGTCTTAGTCATAACTATGTTACTCAATTTAAATATTTGCATACAGCTTATAATTAAAACTTTTCATATTAATAATGTTTTCTATAAAGTTTATAATTGGTCCTTTTTTTTTCTAACATAATTTATAGTTGGTCGTAGGGACAAGGATACGGGCTCAAACATGCATATTATTACGCACATGAAGAGTACCCTCCGAAAACTATAAATGTGACCAAAATCAGGGTCCAGAAGGCACCGCACTAAACATGGTTCTTTGGGGTCTTTAATTGTCGATGCCCATGACTCGCACTTACATACTCTTCATTCCACTTTAGATTGTCTCAATGAAAATCCTAATATCTAATGTTTAAAGCATCCTTGTCCTTTCTCTTTTGGGGTGGTGAAGGATTAATATTGAGGATGGGATGTGGGGTTCGTTTTGTCTAACAAAACACAAATACCAAACATGACATGTGTAGTGGTGGTCATTGGTCAAACGCAAGTTATCAATATAAAATCTTATTTTGTTGCGTGTGATTGTGCATGCATGGGCAAAAAAATATGTGGGATCCATCTATAAAGAAATATTGCTCAATTCTTTATGAGGAAGGAAGTGGAGTGGATTGAAATGATAAGGTACTCAACAAAAAAAGAAAAAAGAAAAAAACCACATATTATATATTAGGCTGTCACATCCATTTTGCTTGTATAATTGCTTCAAATTTCATGTTTAATGCATGCCTACCATCGGTCCCGAAACACAAAATTAGTCCAAATTATCCACATCATCACACGAATTATATCATGGGTTAAATGAGGAATAACTTGCATGTATTTCTCATTTTACATTATACTTAGGAACTTACTACCAATTAATTTCGTTTATACTATATCCCTCATCCTCTCTCAAGTTTCAATATCAAAATTCGTGTGAACCTCGATGTACGCATATATTTTGCTTATATGCTAGCATGAAAGCAAGTGGATAACTTTAGGGTTAAATATGTTTCTATTTTCTAAAAATTAATTTTTTTATTTAAGTTTCTTTAAAAAAAATAATTTCAGTCTTTTAAATTTATATAATATGTATTTTAAATTTTTTTAAATACTGTTAATTTTTTGTTAATTACCTCTTATTTTGCATATACCTCGTAATGATCTTGTAAAAGTAATGATTTTTTTTCCACTTTTAATCATTGTCTTCTCTCCCACATTTTAATAAATAGTATAATTTATATGAAAATTATTATTTTATGTCTCATAATGATCTTGTCTCAATGTGATGATTATTTTATACATTATACTTGACATTAAATTTTTTTAATTAAAAATATTAATTATTTTAGGATTAAGTTAAAATTTAGGGTGAAGAATAATTTTATACATAAAGTTTTTCATTATTCATTCTTGGGTGAAGAATAATTTTATACTTAAAGTTTTTCATTATTCATTCTTTGACCTAGACATGAAGTGCTCTATTTTATTTTTTCTTTATTTTATTTTTACCCTCAATGGAGAAAATTAAGGGTCTCTCATTTTTTAAAGTCAACACCTTTTGAGGGAAAAGAAGAATGAACATTGTTTAGAGTGATTAGCATGTTGAGGGTTTCAAGAGCAACTCAAGGTGAAATGGTGTTGCCAAAAATTGAAAATTTGGAGAGGGTTACCAACAAAGGCATGAAACTAAATATTTATGAACACGATGATGATGGTCAAGAGAAAAATCCAATAGGTAGTTAACAAAACATCCAACTCCAAACGCCATCGTGTGACCTTCGTTGCAACACTTTAATCCTATTTTTGTCTTGCTCTCATACCACGTATGATTATCGTAGTCCAAACCACATGGAAACACGCAAGGGTAAGCTAGGAAAAAGAAACAACACCATCAAATCTTTGACAACATAGCAACAAAGCATCACAACATACAACACAAATCAACATAGTCCAACTTTTAATAAAAACAACAACACATTTCATCACAGTTCAATGCAGTACATGAACAACACAATCATCTCAACACGTCATATGCTCAACACAACAACTATATGTGTCGTCACGTATTTCAACTAGGAGATCTCTTACAACACAAGGTGAACAATTTAAGTGGCTTGATCCTACCGAAACGACAACACATGGTGAGCTTATTCTTTACTAGATCAACAATAAATCAGATATAAATTCACAACACAATAACTCAGTTTCTTGGAGGTCGCCATTCAAACAAAGAAATATAGTACTAATGTCAGGATAGAACAGTTGGGTACAGGCCTACCACGACATTAATTAGTTTAACTAAGTCTCGTATAGGATTAATCTACCGACTATCCTTCAAATACTACAGCCTTTTGAAACTCGGTTAGGAACTAAGTTTCCAACTTTGTATTTTACTTAATTGGTCACTTGTAATTAGTATAGCTCGACTTGACCCCTATAATGTGGTCACTTCATACACACGTGCCTTGATCTTGCCCACACACGGTACTAACAAAGTCCTATAAGAAAAATGACACAGTATCTACTTCAAAAATCAACTTCCCAAGAAGGGTTTTTTAACAAATTGGAATCTCGGAGCACCACAACACAATATCCACACAGTGAGATTTGCAACTTTTAAAAATATATCTTCTAGTCCTAAGTGGTCAACATCACAGGTCAACAACACAAACAACTCGTTAGATTTTTTAACACAACAACTCAATCAACACACAACTTTTTAACTCATATCACCATCATTACAACTCATTTACAACACTATGATCAACATGCCTCTCAACAACATATCAAAATTATTCATATAGAATCCTACCATATCTACACAACTTCACATCATGTCAACTTACACAACATAAACATCATATATATCTTCAAAACACTCACATCTTAAGAAAACAACATCATAAATCAACTTAAGCAACTAAAATAACTCTCAACTTAACCAAATCACTTATTGTGAGATGACAACCATCACATAAAATATCACATAGGGAGTTCTACTACTTTTACCATGCTCATCCTTATCTCATATGAAAGACAAAAAGATTTTCTACAACTTTCATGAATAACTCAGATTCTAATTCTCTCATCTATCATGTTAAAAATGGTAAAAATTGTAACAATTTGCCTAAATCCTAACAGTTTGACCTTTGCGCTAGACCTCATTTGTAAGTGATTCCAACGCCATTAGAAAGTTAACACCCAAGACTACAACTTTATGAAGACAAAAAAGTCGAATTCAAAAAGCACCATACCGCTTAGCACTTACAAGAGTGCTCAACGTTTTCAAAAGTGCTTAGCAATTTCCAAACGACTCAGCCTTTTGCCCCCTGAGACCCTCCTTGTCACATGGCCCCCAATTGGCTTAGCCGTTTCTAAACGAATCAGTCCATTACCTCCAGAGATCACTCCTTGTTCACAGCCCCCAAATTTCCAAACAGCTTAGACTTTTGGTGATAGAAAGCATCCCTATTATTCACCATTTTTGAACCTCCACACCTGAAACTTAGAAAAATTCAACATGCAATGGAAGAAATAACACTCATGCACCAAAAATAGCTCAATTCAAGCCCCAAAAATAACATGCATCCATGAACTTTTCCCAAGATCATCAATTCACCGCACATGCAACAAAACCTAAAAACTTTCAATATTCAACATTCAATCCCTTTAATCCATCCCCGTAGCTGCAGATTTCAAGATTTTATCAACAATAAGCTTTTAATTCAATAAGCTTTTAATTCATTCAATAGTTAAATGATTCAACTAAAATCTACTGTTTTAACTTTTTGTATCTCAATTCCAAGTTTCCCATAGAAGAAGAAGACAAGGAAGGACTTTGGGTTGCTCTAAGGTGGAAAAAGAGAAATAGGAGAAAATGGACTCCAAGTTTCAAGTATCAAAGATATTCCTTAAAAATATGAAGAAAAAGAAAAAAGTTTTGAATTTTCTTGAAATTCTTTTCCCTCTTAAGTCAAGATCTCACTCTATTGAAAAGATAAAAACTAAGAAAGTATTTATTAAATCATATCCTTTTTAATAGGAATAATTTTTTTTATTCACATATAATTAATTTTTGATTAAATTATGATAAATAAATTACATAATAAATATAATAAATTGAAGACCGTTGATAAGACAAAATAAGATTATTAAAATATTAAAAATTGAAAAAGATATAGTAAAGAAAACTAGAATTTTAAGATCAGAGTAATGAAAATATTGGATTCGGAACTGGATTCAAATTTTAAACTTCAAATGTCAGAGAAGTTGAACGAAATTACGGGGCGACCACTGCTAACTGCAAAGCACTTGTATGTTAGGATTTAAGATTCCTAAAAAGCAGAGTTCGGATATTTGGTACTTTTGAAAGCAAAGAAGAGAGAGAAAGTGTTAGGGATCACAACACGCTTCTCTCATGTCTCAACCCAACCACACGGTGAGGTCCATTCTCAAACCACTTCGCAAAAGGGTTTTATGTATTTTAAATTTCAATTTTTTATTTTATTTGCATGAACTAAATCTTAACATAGATGAAGCTGTAATCTTTTTGTTTGTGAAAGCTTATAGCTTCTTACTGAAGTTGATTTGCCGCCAAAGGTGTGTACCAAAGTTCAGTGTTTATTGTTCAGGTCTAGCAACTTGGGACTCAACCCATTCCCACAACTCAATTTTAAATCTTAGGTTGAGATTTTGAAGTTTTTGCAGAATAAGGGTTTCCAGGAAACCAAACGTGTAAATGTAAGAATAATGTTTCCAGTTTGATAGCTTTGATATTATAATGATGTAAAAAAATTACTAGTAAATGCTGCCTGCTGCACCTGCTGCAGTTATGGATACAAAAAAAAATAAAAAATAAAACTTGATCCAGCTGTCACTATGGCTACAAAACCCCCAAATAGCTTGAAGTTGCGGGCTTTGTGGCCGGTTTGGCCACAATTACATTTGCAAAAACTCCATAAATCTGAATGTTGTAGTCAATCCAACCGCAATTATGATTGCCAAATCTTCAAAAACTTAGGCTGTGACCGATTTGGCCTTGTATCTAGATAGATAAATGGTGGGTGGTTCACTGGTTCTTCTAGGATAGATTTTGATACCATTTTAAGAACGTAACTTTTGGATCTAATTCAACACTTAAAAAATCTCAAAGTTGCGGCCAATTGGGCTGCAATTACAGTTGAAAAAACTCCAAAAATCTGTAGGCTGTGGCCAATCCGGCCAATAATTATTGCAAAAACTCCAAAAGAAAATTGAATTTGTAGCTGATTTGGCCCATATGAAAAAATGGTGGGTGATTCTTTTAACTAAATTTAGGATATACTCTAATATGATCTTAAGAATGTGAATTTGGACTTAATTCAATTATACAAAGGTGATGGTTTCCCTTCACTTATATATTTTAATTTTGGCTTTATCTCACATGAGGTTTTTCCAATAAATTATGACCACGAAAACTCTAAAAACATTGATAGTGTACTGTTTTTTAAAATATTTGCTGGTGATACTAACTGTGATATGATTTGGGGGGACATGGGCTCTTCAATTTATTTCATGATTTAGGCATCTGCTGTCGATTTGATTGAAGTATATATATTTGATTCTTTTAATGAGTAACTTATTTACAGTGTATTATGGCCAAAACCCATGTGTTACAAGACCTACATTTTGTTACTTGATAGAACACTTTTGCTCCTATAACTGGATATATTCTTTGGAAAATCTGGAAGCGATTTAACTAAACTTTGTTCATGACTTCATGTTACTGTAGAACATAAATGTTCTAATATTGCTTTACATTTTTTTCATGTTATTTTTCCACATCATTTTTTGTCCAACTAAATATTGAAACTTTTATTGTTGTCTCTCCTTTTTCAGGCGAATCTAAACAATGACAAAGAGAGATGTAAGAATATGATCAGGCAGCATGAAGATAACCTTAAGTTCCTTAATTCACAATCTAATCGCTTACACGAATCAATACTTGACTTGCAAGGTATGTAAAAAAATTAATCTGTTTTTTTAGCTGTTTGTCTAGAAAAGTAGGAAGATATAAGAGGAGTGATTATAATTTGAGATTACCAATACAATCTAATACAATACTACATATTACTTTTTAGTTGAGTAAACCATTTTAATTAAGTTTTTCATATATACATTTTTTGGCTGATGAAATTTTTAGTAAGTCTTGGAAGGTACCATTCAAGTAGTATAATTACATCGGAGAATGGAAATGGTGCCTTTCATACTGAAGAGGAAACAGTGGAACAGATACTGAAGAAAGAGAACTCTGCTGCCAGCCTATATAGTTGGCTAAAAGCTAATGCTCAGACATCAAATTTGGCATTAACAAAGGATGTTGTGGGAGTTGTCGCAACCCTTGCAAAAGTTGAGAGTGATGATCTTAGCAGGTCAATATATTTTATTTTATTTTATTCAAATTTTTAACACTCATCTAGTCTATGTAATTTAAATCTGGCAACAAACAATATCTCTTGTCTCATTTCATTTTTTAGATTTTAGAACATGAGTCTCAGTTCTTTTAATACAATCATTAAAATATCTTGCAGACTATTCATGTAGCATCATCTGTGAAATTTCTAAGCATGTTAGTACTAGTGTGAATCTTGAACATGACTGGCATATTCTAATTTTTTCTAGTGTATTTCTTACTAGCATAATCACGAAGAAAGAAACTCCTATTATAATTATTTAATTAAAAAAAAACTTGCAATTTTGTCTAAATACAGAATCCTTTCTGAGTTTTTGGGCTTGGAGACAATGCTTGCAATTGTCTGCAGTACTTATGAGGGCGTTAATGCACTGGAGAAGTATGATCCAGATGGCTTGATAAATTTTAACAGTGGATTGCATGGTATTGGATCTTCAATTGGAAAGAGAATAAATGGCCGATTTGTTGTCATATGTCTTGAAGATTTAAGGTAAGTTTAACAAAAAATTCAATTTAGCTCCTCTTGAATTTTTTTGCAAAATAAGTTATGTCAAGATAGATAGACATAAAACTCTATTTAAGTTTAAATTTTAGGCCCTGCATTGGGACTTCTATCTATTACTCTCTTCATAAAATCTGAAAAACTCGCAAGGTATATCTTGAATTAGAAGTTGCAATACGATACTCATGATGAGTTTAGCAATGGATGTCAAGACATTTGCATGAAGTAACAACATAAAGTGCAAGTGTAGATTTTTCATGCTAAATATATTTTTTGGTGGAGCTATATGTGTAAGGAGGATAGATGATTTATTTGTTTTTACATGCGGGGATGACATTTAACTATCCATGGAATACATATCTTTGTTTGGTCCCAACTTGTGATCTTTCATGAATAAAATTTGTTTTGCTGATTAAAAAAAAGATGTGAAAAGCTCACATGATAGGGATTCAATTCTACACGAGCATAATTTAGAGGGAAGGTGAAGCTCTTTCCTTTTAATTTTTTAAAGCATTGTACTTGTTTTTATTTCAGACCCTTTGTTGGAGGTTTTGTAGCCGATGATCCACAAAAGAAGTTGGCTCTTCCAAAGCCAAGATTACCTAATGGGGGGCACCCACCTGGGTTTCTTGATTACGCAGTGAACATGATTCATTTGGATTCAAAATATTTATCTTTTTTTACTGCCAGTGGGCTCGGTCTTAGAGAGACTCTGTTTTATGGCCTTTTTTCTCAGCTACAAATATATAAAACCCGGGATGAAATGCTGCTTGCTCTCCCATGCATCCGTGATGGAGCTTTGTCATTGGACGGTGGGATGATTAGGAAATGTGGTATGTTTGCTCTTGGTAGTGGGTAAGTGTCAAATTAACCTTCCCCCTTTTAATGCATTTTGATTTAGATATTTTTTTGTTTTTCTACCCTTCTTATGATAAGTGATACTTTTAGTTCTCTGTCAATTAACTTTCAAGGATAAATAATTCTGCTGTTCAATTTTGCTTATTTCAATAATCTCATAAAAAAGTGTTTACATGATAATACTTCATCCAATTGATTTGTATCTCCTAGTAAGACATAATGATATGACCACTTGTTTGCATTACACATAGGTATTCAGGGCATGTTTGGTTTTCAGCTGGGGAACTGAAGACGCCCAAAGTACATTCAAAAGGAAAAACTGAAAAAAAAAAAATTCTTGTTTGGTTTTCAGTTGGATCTGATTCTAAATTGAGTTTTTCCTCAATTTTGTCATGAAATTTAGTTTAAAATGGAGGGAAATGGAGAGTTGGTTTTGCAAACGCAGTTTGAAAAATGAAGTTCGTTCAAACTAAAGTTTGCAAACTTTAATTCAAACATGCACTTAGATATTTACATATTGAAAAATTATTATCTTTTTCTTTTCTTTTTACCGTGATATGCTTGTCAATTGATTGTTAATTGACATAGATTTAGTTAGGGAGTTGCTATGGGGAGGGGAAAGGATGAGAGGCTTAAATTTTCATTTTTAAATTTAGAGACAATCTCTTTTTATTTAAATAAAAATAAGGTATCTTTACCAAAAAGGTAAATAAAAATAAGGTATGACTGGGAGGCTACATGCTAATTTTTGAAGGCCGGATATTCCAAAAATAGCGAAAGTATTGCTGCCATATCCATATTGGATATTGACACATCCAAGAGGAGTATCCTCCAATTTTATTTTTTTTAAATACTTTTAGGATAGGACTGTGATACTTTGAGTAACAAAAGAATTACATGCAGCTCTATCTTTTCCTATGTATACTTGGGCTATAGTAAATAGTAGGCAATATAGAGCCAATACTTCTGAGTAGGACTAATGCCTTTTGTAACATTCCAATATGGGTTGGGGAAATTTTTTGTAACATGTTCATGGGATAATATTTTCTGATGTGGGTAATGGAAATATATGTCACATTTTTCCAATATGATCACAAGCATTGTTTTTCTAAATTGTGATTGTCATTCAGTGATATAGTTATACATTAATAAGAATTAATCAATGTTTCTTAACAAATATTATGCATTTATGTGAAGTGTGTTTATATATATTAAAGTTTATTAAAAATAACCAACATCATATAAATGTTTGACAATTCACCTTTTATTTGACACCTTTTAAAAAGAGAAAAAGATTAGCAATTAGAACTACTTTATCAAGACTTCCTTTTTCTCCTCATTTGACAACTTGTGTTATGACCATTTATTTCTTTTCTAGGTTAAACACTCTTTTCTTTCTCTTGCTTTCATATAAATATAATACCGTAATCTGAGGATTAATTTTTGCTACATATTTTTTGGTCTTATTATGAATTAAATTTGTCACAACACTCTGGCTGTAGGAAAGAAGTAGAAGTGAAGTTTCCTCTACTCTCTGGAGAATCTAATGTACCACCGAATTATATTGAAGCCGAAGATGTGGTGAGGAAGCTGAAATGGGAAAACACTAAACTTGACGCTGATATACATAGAGAGCAGCAATTATTAGATTACAGAAAAGGAAACTTAACTAGGCACGCCTGAAAAGTTACTAAAAGTTACTTATGGAAAGTTACTTTGCAAGACATGGTAGCTAGCAACTAACCACATCCAATTGTGTGCATTATTAGCTGTTAATTTAAAGACATGACTAATGAGGAGTATGTCCAAAAGAAAGTAGATAGTTATGCATAGACATAACATAATGAATTTTTTTGATGTAACCTAAAATTTATGTTACTCAAAAAGAACATGTCTTGTCACATGATCATATCCAAATTCTTATAATCTCACTTTTGTCTTCTAATTCCATCTCTTTATCTAATAAAAACACGAGGAACTTTCATTTTCAATTGTTCATGTGCAGGACCAATAATTAAAAAAAAAAAAAAAAATTCTAGTGAGGAAGTCTGAAGTCACTAGACTTGTTGCACAGCAAAATGTCACAGAAAATAGTCTCTAAAAATAAAACTACAATTATTTCACCTTCACACAGGGACTATGTTTCACTTTAAGTATCAACTTTCAATAAAGTTCTTTATTTGTTCAGTTAACGCAGACTTTCAAATGCATAAAGGACCTATGTGGAGAATATCAAATTAAATTTACCAAGGATATAGACACTAAATAACAGAAATAAAAGAAGTATTAACAACTACTACAATGCAAAGACAATTTTGTGCCACATTAATATCAAGCCATGTACTCCAAAAAAAGGCCATACCTTGGATGTATCATGTATACCCTGGTTCAAAATACAAAGGGAATTCCTACACTTTGCTACCAAGCCACAAAACCTTTGGTTTTGATTCCCGATTTACTCTCAGTTGTCTACACACCTTTCCTTTGGTGTCTTGTTCTGTTCCCTTTCTCTTTGTCTCGCTCTTGACCAGTGACCACCACCACACATGTCATGTTTGGTATTTGTGTTTTGTTAGATAAAATGAGCCCCACATCCCATCCTCAATATCAATCCTTCACCACCCCCCAAGAGAAAGGACAAGGATGCTTTAGGATTTTCATCCAGACAATCCAAAGCGGAATAAAGGGTACGTAGATGCGAGTTATGGGCACGCATAGCCGGTTGAAGACCCCAAAAAACCATGTTTAGTGCAGTAGCTTTTGGTTTCTGAGTTTGATCACATTTTCGGTTTTTTTAAGGTCACTCTTCATGTGCATGCTAATATGTATGTTTGTCATCGTGTAAATCTGACACAAATGGTCTGAAATCTAGTATGAATCACATCTGTTTGTGGCTCTAACAACATCCTCATAATTGGAATTGTTTCCTTCTTGTGGCATTTGTGCATATTATATTATTGTATTGGTGTTGGAAGGAGATTGGTTTAGGGGTGCAGTGAAAAATAACCATGAAAGATAATATTGTCTCCATGTCGTCCTTCGCCGCCACTGTGCTTCTTCGCACTCCGTTACGTCACACTATATTGTTGCTCCGCTTGTTGTGTCATCCTCCACTGCATGGTCCTTCGTCACCGGTCACCGGTCAATGATACCATAGTCTTCAAGTTTTAGGTGAAAGAAATTTTATGTAACAGATTGATGATATCGTAATCACATATGATAGTATTCGCCCTAAAATCAGTCATGTTAAATTATTGGTAAAAGTGGTAGACTTTTTATTTTTTTTATTTTTTTATACACATTTTAATTTTAATTTTATCCTCCCATCATAAATTATAAATCACTATCAAATTTTATCCTTAAATTACTCATATTTTAACTTTTTTAAAATGAGAAAAAACTTTGAATCTGTTTTAATGAATATAATCATATTTTTGAGCTGTTAAGATAAAAATGAATCTGTTTCTGAGCTATTTGTGTGGAGCGGCATGCCCATTTCCACTTGCAACTGCCAAGCATGAGTAGCGTGTCTCTCCCACGCGCATGGAGCGTGATTGATCACGCAGTGCCAGCAGAGGCTTCACGCAAGTTGTGCGACTTCCATCATTACTCTCCCGGAAACAAATGTCAAATACGTTTCCAAACATCACACGCGTCCCACGTGCCCTATTTGTTCTCCACGTGTCTTCATCTCGTCCATCCTCGAGGGTAGAGGCTCTCCAGTAACCGATAAGGAACGTGAACCGGAGTGGATGAAGCACGTGAAGTGCATTTCACACACTACCTCTTCACTTCCCTACCAAGCCACCAAACTAAACCCTTGCTTTTGATTCGCAACACCGCGCACACGACTCTCAGTTTCTGTTTTTATCTCTCTCGCGTTTTTTTTATATTATTTATTATTTGTTGAGATAGCTGAAATTTGGAAGATCTGATAAGAAAAAATTTTAAGATCCGAAAATATTAATTTAGAAGATGAAGAGCGTGGAGTGGGACGATGAAGAGAAGGCGATGGTGGGAGCGGTTCTTGGAGGTGGAGCGTTGGAGTTTTTGATGAGAAATTCAGTATGGAATGAGAGTGTTTTAATGGCGGTTGGGAGCGAAGAGGGAGTTCAGAACAATCTATCCGATCTGGTGGAGCGTCCCAACCACTCGAATTTCAGTTGGAATTACGCCATTTTCTGGCAACTCTCTCAGTCCAAATCCGGTGATTGGGTTCTGTGTTGGGGCGACGGATGCTGCAGAGAACCGAACGAAGAAGAAGTGGTTGCTGTGAGAGGAAGAGGGAGGGTTGTGGAGGAAGAGATGCATCAGAGGATGAGAAAGAGAGTGCTGCAGAAGCTTCACACCACTTTCGGTGGTTCCGATGAAGACAATTATGCAGTTGGCCTCGACCACGTCACTGACACCGAGATGTTCTTTCTGGCCTCCATGTACTTCTCCTTCCCTCGCGGCCACGGTGGCCCTGGTAAGTGCTTCGCCTCCGGCAACCATTTATGGCTCAAATCTGTTTCCGATTACTGCGTCCGTTCTTTCTTGGCTAAATCCGCCGGAATACAGACTGTTGTTTTGGTCCCCACCGATTTGGGAGTTGTAGAGTTGGGTTCTGTTAGAATCTTACCAGAGAGTTTTCAACTCTTGCACACCGTTAAGTCTCTCTTTTCCACGCATTCTTCTAATGCCCTTTTCACCGGTTTGGCCATTGGGGATGGCAAGGTAGACGCAGGAGTTCCAATTCCCAAGGTTTTTAGAGAGAAACTTGCTGTTAGGAAAATGGAGGACAATGATAGGGCTTGGGGAGGTCACCCCAGGAACGGTCTTCAAGTTGAGAATTTTGCTCCTAGGACATCCACTAGCAGTGTCGCCAATGCTGTGAGACACGATTTCAGGCTTAGCAATACCTATCTACCTCAAAGGCAGGTGCAAATGCAAATTGATTTCACTGGAGCTACTTCAAGGCCTTCTTCGGTGAGGCCGGTTATTGCGGAATCAGAACTTTCTGATGTCGAGGCTTCCGGCAAGGAGGAGCAACCCACTGTTGCTGATGAAAGGAAGCCCAGAAAGCGAGGCAGGAAGCCGGCTAATGGAAGGGAAGAACCTCTCAATCATGTTGAAGCAGAGAGGCAGAGGCGTGAGAAGCTCAACCAGCGCTTCTATGCATTAAGATCTGTTGTGCCTAATATCTCCAAGATGGATAAGGCGTCCTTGTTGGGTGATGCCATTGCTTATATCAATGAGCTTCAGGCTAAAGTTAGGATCATGGAGGCTGAAAGAGAGAGATTTGGAAACACTTCAAAGGATGGCTCAGTTTTGGAGGGCAACTCAAGTTTGGACAACCAGGAAAAGGAAGCTCCTCATGTGGATGTTCAAGCTGTTCAAGATGAGGTCATTGTAAAGGTGAGTTGTCCTCTTGATGCTCACCCTCTTTCCAAAGTAATCCAAACACTCAATGAGGCACAAATCAATGTTGTAGAGTCTAAACTTGCTGCTGCAAATGATACTATTTTTCACACATTTGTAATTAAATCACAAGGATCTGAACAGCTTACAAAGGACAAGTTAATTACTGTATTTTCCCCAACAGAATCCAACTCATTGCAGCCATTGTCATCAGTTGGATAACAGGAAATCTCAGTTACCATAGTCCATAGGGATGTCATACGTAGAGAAAAATCAATTTTAAAAGCTTCCTAACTAGAGTAGTAGAATAATAGCTCCCATTAACCATGTAGGCAGCCGAATTATGTTGTCTATAGTATACACATCAGAAATATTGTCCCTGCAATGTCAATTATTTTATTTAGTTTAACCAAATCTATTTGTTATGGTTAAAGAATGTCATGTCTTTCAGGGTTTTTTTTTCTTCTTTCTTGTGCATAGAAGGAAGATTAGTTAATTTTGACTGCTTTTGTTATTTTAAATTTTTATATTTTATCGTTGTGTTCTTCCTTGGAGAGACATATAATTGTAAATCTGTTTCATTTTTTTATATTCAAAGTAGGGAGGAGTTCTCCTGTTGCAAGTATACTCCTTTAAAACTGGGATTTTTATGTTTTAGGTGGTTTTTTATATAGACTTTCTTTCTTATCTATGCAATCTGTACAAGAATTAACTTATGATAATAATGATCTCAAAGATCTTATTGAACAAATCATATATATTGCCATATTGTGTTTACAATGGCAATTGAATGAGCCTTGACTTAATTGTTCTCATTGCAAAGAGAATGATGAATTTACGTTACTTGTCAAGTGAATTGCATGTTCTGGTACAAGTACTTCTTAATTTCTGTGATTTTGTTTCCTTCCCCGACCGCTTCATGATGCCGAATCTTTTGATACTCCTCAAAAGGAAGAAAAGTATTGGCACTACTCTTGAATTCTTGACCGCTCCTTTGTTATTACTTATTACCACTTTTTCTATGAGAAGTAGAATCTCTAGTTCATGCAGAAAAGAACATTAGACTAAAAAGGCTGTAGAGAAAAAAATATAGGGTAGCTAAACTTCTCCTATTTAGTTTTTTAATATTCCCCTACAGGAAATAAAATAAACAAAAGCACAAACACAACACATATAAAAATATGACTAGTTCTAATGTGGTGATTGATGGGTGGTCCTGCATTATACGTGTCGAGTCCCATTTTGAATTTTGAAATTGTGGAAAACCTTCACGTGCTAAGGTCCTTTCAACTAATGAGTTCTGGGATGACGTCAATCATGTGGTGCATGTGTTTCCTTTTAAAAGTGATTGAAAGTTAGATAAATAAAAAAATAGCTGTCAAAATTAATAAAAATAATATAAAAAAATTGGAAAAATGGTAGTCACAACACGCAGTCTGAGCCGGACGGTCTTCTCCAACAAACCAGTGTCCCCTTGGGATCTCGTTTTGGAAGAAAAAAAAAAGTTTAATTACCTATTTTTTTTATAGCACAATTACCCTTTTGTTCTATACAGTTTTATAAATTTAATATTTTTTGTTTTTATTGTTAAAAGTGTTACGTTTTAAGTTATATATATATATATATATATAT